GTCTGTTTCTCCCCATCCAGACCCGTACGGCCTCCAGACACCGGGCCATCACGTCAAGGGCATCATTGGGGTGGCCTGGGGTGGAAATGTACAGCTGAGTATCATCAGCGTACTGATGGAAATCCACCCCAAAGCCACGGATGATCTCCCCCAGCGGCTTCACATAAATATTGAACAGTAAGGGGGAGAGGACCGACCCCTGTGGCACCCCACAAGTTAGGGGCCTTGGGGTCGACCTCTGCCCCCCTGCCAATACAGACTGCGTGCGGTCAGTGAGGAAGGAGGAGAACCACCGCATCACCGTGCCTCCATAGATCTTTATTATAAAGGGCAGCCCTTCATTTCAGAAAACTGTCCTTTAAATTTATTTATTTCAAATAAATACATCATATTTTCTTTATCCCACTTCCTACTGTCAGCAATCTAGCCCAAGAACATGTTGGCTACTCAGTGGTTCCCTCTCTCCATCATTTCTTTTTAAAATCCATCTAAAGATATTTTTATACTTCTGACAATGTCAGAACTCTTTTAACTTTGCCCTTTTGTACATGAGTGGTTTCACTTTAGCTTGATAAGGACGGGGAATTCAGAGTACCTAATGACTTATTAATATAAATGGAGGGTTGCTTTGTTGTGATTTTTTTTTACAAAAAAAAGATAATTGAACTAAACCACTTTATGAATTAAAAAAAAAATGAGCAGTTTTAAATAACCTAAATTGCCCAAAAGATTAAGCACAGGTTGCATAAACCTCTTATCCTGATCTTCAAATTCGTGAGAAATAAAACATTAGCTTGGTGAAATTGACACATCACATCCATATCAGATAAATGGATGCTCCTATTTCAGGTTTAGAACAAGAATCACAAGAACTTAACATCTGATTTGCTCCAATCAGCTGCCCTTTACACCAGAAGTTCCTAATCTGTGTGGGCTGCCCAGAATATGTACCCCGTGGAAGATCATACATTAATTCACCCACCCACCAGGCCTTCCCACTCACACAGTTGTGGGTGGGACTTCCGGCAACAGCCCTACCGCTTGGATCTGTAGATTCTGCTTACTGCCCAAAGGCCACGATAGCTGGCCTCTTTCATGACCACCATTTTCTGGATGGTGTTCAGGTTCTCCTTTGTTTGAGGAACAAGCCGACATTTAAAAAGAGCCGTGTCTTTCTCAGATGTGAAGTTAAAATAGAGAGGAACTAGGGAAGAAGATGCTTTTTGAAGTCACTGATTTTTCCCCCCTCCTCTAGACTTAAACATTAAAGTCTAAGAACATCTATGGAAGTAAACAAAGGACAAGATGTAGGTTGACTTACAACCACAACCGACTCTAAAATTTCCAATGCTAAACGAGACAGTTGTGAAGTGGATTTTGCCCCATTTTATGACCTCTCTTGCCACAGTTAAGTGAATCAATTAACACTTGTAAGTGTTAGTAATATACAGTAGTGGTCAAAATTGTGGAAACCTTTTGGGAAAAGTGTACAGTAGAAATGCCACCGTTGGTTAAGTTTCCACCATTTTTTCTTCTAATTTCTTTATAACTGTAGCCTTGTTCACTTAATAATACTATTTTACATCGCTTTCTGGGCGACCAGTCAACTCTTTGCACCATTACTTTAATTTTATTACGTTTTACCAGTTCACTAAATGAAGGAACACAAAAAACCCCCAACCAACTTGATAGCGATCACATAACACACTGATAAATGTCCTCCTCTCAGCTTCAATACATGACATCAATCATTGAATCCTACTGTGATCTGATTGGCTCATTGCCAAAATAAGATAACACCCAATTGGCTCTCTAAACACTCATGCTCATTGGCTACAATCAGATGAAGGAAAGCTACCTGATATCAACCTAAGCAAGTTGTGCTTCCTTTTTCTGGTTATTTGGCTATAACTTTTCATAGAATACAGCACAGATAATTGAACAAACTTTGTTACATTACACTCTTGATTAAATTATCTTTCCATTGATATATAATTTTATGGTACTACTCCCCCCAAAAAGTGGTGTTATTAGCCATCAAACCTCAAAAATACACTTTCCCAAAAGGTTTCCACAATTTTGGCCACTACTGTAATTGTTAAATGAATCTAGCTTCCCTGTTGACTTTGCTTGTCACAAAAGGGGATCACATGACCCCGGGATACTTCAACCATCCTACATACATATCAATTGCAAAATGTCCAAATTTTGATCCTGTGACCATGGGGATGCTGCAATGGCCATAAATATGAAAAATGATCATACATTGCTTTTTTCAGTGCCGTTGTAACGTTGAAAAGTCACGAAACAAATGGTTATGTCAAGGATTACCTGCAGAGAAATGTGTGTGTCTGAGGAAGGAAAGTACCATTGGGTTTTTTCTTTTAGGGCTTCTTCTTTGCCTAATTTTATATTGTCAACTGCTCCCAAATTCAGATTGAGCCTGGATCTATGGTTGATTTTTACCTGCAGTTTCTCCAAGAGATCCATATTCTGTCTCTTCAGCTGACTGTTGGCCCTTTCAAGTTTCTCTGAAGCTTCAATCTCCTCACAAGGGCTCAGGTTGTCTTGCAATTCATCCTGCAGAACATGGTACTCCACTTCATAGGCGTGAAGCTGCTTGGAAATGTCCATCTCAAACACCTAGCATGGGTAGCAAAAGAGGGGAGGGGAAAAAGATTCCTTATAATCCACTGGCTAATTGAGAGAAGACAAATAACTGAACTCTTTGGACCTCAGAGTGTGAAAGAAGACTACCAATGTGGGGCAGTGGAAGCTTCTCTCACACCCGTTTTGGGAATGACTAAATTAAAACTTTCGATCTGTATGGACCAGCCCCAGATTCATTCAAGATGGAGAGAATAACTTAAAAGTGCAAACCATTGACTCTTGGGCATATTTGCTTTGATGGCCACACCACCCGAAGGACTTGACTGGATAAATGATAAAAAGGGAGCCATCTTGCTCTGAGTCAAGCTCTACTTAGCAATTTCTTTTTTTAAAAAAAAGAGCTCCATATTTCAAAGAGAAACTACTTAATTCCTAAAACGCCACGAAGATACATTGAAATTCCCAAACTTGGTGGATCAAGTTATTGCAGCAACATATCAAGACAGGACATTCTGTGAGATTTTCAAACTGAGCTCAAAGACTTCATCCTTAACAGACATAGCAAAAACACTACAGACTTAATTAAAAGGGAAAAAGAAAAGTAAGAAATAATTGACATCTGTTAAAAACTTAATTAAAAGGTTATTTAAAAAAAAAAAAAAAACAGAACAGTGAGTCGTAGGATACCCCAAAGACTTGGCATATCAGTCAAGGGATGTTTTTAACAGGCTTTTTGCTCTTAGGAAAGGAGAAAGAGAGGATGGCGGGAATACATCTACTGTCATGGTTCCGATATGAAACCCTTTAAAGCAGTGTTTCTCAACCTTGACAATTTTAAGGCATGTGGACTTCAACTCCCAGAATTCCACAGCCAGCAATGCTGGCTGTGGAATTCTGGGAGCTGAAGTCCACATGCCTTAAAATTGTCAAGGTTGAGAAACACTGCTTTAAAAGAATTTCAAGGCAAGGATTTCTTCCTTAAAGAACATTTTATTTAGGAAACAAAATATCGGCATGTACAAAGGTGAACCCAAGACTAAAAATGCCCTCCCCCTGGTTACAAAGTTACAGTTGCTTTTCCCTACCCAATATGCTGTCATAAATCACATTCATCAATTATCACAAAACATGGACTCTCCTCCCAGCTTTACAGCCGGCTAAAACTCTTATCAGCACTGACCTTGGTTCTCACACCGATGCATCCTTTTGGCTAACTGAGAAACTTCGCATCCCTCCTCCCACTCCTTCATCTAAAATCTCTAAACTAAAAGGGGGCAACGAAGGCAAAATGAAAAATGGCTTCATATTCAGTTTGTCACGGCATTGACATCTACATTACCTGGGCCATTATCTTCTCCATCTGGGGCTCTGTCATGTCTGGCAGAGTGTTTTTAAGAAACTCCACGATGCTTTCAAATGTCTCACACGACATGATGTGTTCTTCCCGGGTGCTGAGCAGGCATAGCGCTACTTTAAATATGACTTCTGTACCTTGGAGAAAAATAATATCTGGGGCGAGAAAGAGCAAAAATGATAGGTTAGTAGGTAGTCGTCAATTTTGGACTACAGCGGAGACCAACGTTTACGTGGCCAAGCGAGACACTTGGTTAAGAGAACTTTGCCCCATTTTACAGCTTTTCCTGCCCCAGTTACTAAGTGAATCACTGCATTTCTTAAGTTAGTGACATGGTTGTTAATTAACTGAATCCAGCTTCCCCATTGAAGCTGGATTTTTTTGTCAGTTTTGCTTGTCAGGAGGTTGTAAATGGCGATCACACAACCTACGGACATTGCAACCGTCATAAACACGAGCCAGTTGCCAAGTGTCTGAATTTTGATCACGTGATCTCGCGGATGCTGCAATGGTCATAACTGTGAAAAACAGTCCTAAGTCAGTTTTTTCCGTGCTGCCCCAACTTTGAATGGTCACTAAATGAACTGTTGTAAGTTGAGGACTGTCTGTACACTACTCCATAAAAGCATATCATTCATACAATTAGGTTAACAACAACCTACACACAACCCAAAGGTTGAAACTGACCTTTTGTCATTCTACAGTCTCTTACATTTATAGGAAGAAACTCTACTAAAATACAAAGAAACTTGTGGATGGGTTAATAATCCAATTTCAGACTGCCCCATAAAAAACATTTATTTTATTTTGAGTGCCTTTTTGTATTTTTAGAAGTTCCAGTTGCGAAAAGAGGCAACCCAACAAACTATGAACACAAAGAAGCAAGTCCAGCTATTTGCAAGGAACCTGTCATGGTTCCGATAGATGAGACCAATTAAAAGAACTTCAAGGCAAGGATTTCTTCCTCAAAGAACATTTTTATTTGGCTACAAAATAACGGCGAACAAAGGTGAACCCAAGACTAAATTTCCCTCCCCCTTGGTTACAAAGTTGCAATTCCCACCCCAATTTGTTGTCATAAATCACATTCACCAATTGTTAGAAAACTGGGCACTCCTCCCAGCCCGGCCAAAATGTTATCAGCAATGACCTTGGTTCCCATGCATTTGAATCAGTTTTGGCTAACTGAAAACTACACCCCCGTCTTCTTCTTCTAAATTAAATATGCAGCAATGAAGGCAAAATGAAAATGGCTTCAGTGCGGTTTGTCACAGCGTTGACAGAACCATTTTGGCTGCACATTCCTGTGAACAGAGTTAATCATAAGCAAAGCAAAAGAAAGGAAAAACCAAAACCCAAACACCAAATATGAAGGCATGGAAAAAGGGGTCTCCAATGGGACACGCAGTTTCGCTGGTCAACAGAAATTAGAAATTAGAATTTCTATCTAGGCAAGAGAGGGCAACTCCCATTCATCCCAGGAACAAAATGCATCTTAATACAACATCGCAGAGTATTTAAAAAAAAACAACCCACAGAGAACCGTTAATTTATGACCTCTGCCAATTCTATTGAGCAGACAAATTGCAACCCCAAAAGAAGTTTGTTTAAAAAAAAAAGAAGAAGCACAAATCCTGTTCTAGTTATTCCTGTTGACATTCACAATGAATGTGCCCTTAGGATTGTGAGGCAAAACAGATCCTTACCAAAGATTCTGGCTACAAATCCCAGAGGAAATTGTGAGGCAAATAAAGTGAGAAACCAGGGTGCGGCATACAGGCTTGGGCTGATTTCGTTTTCTTCAAGATGGTGGTAAAGGTCCCTGTGATAGTCATGAAGAAGCCTTGACAGCTGGTACATCTGGATCTACATGAAGATATGGAAAAAGAGGAGGTTAGGAGGTCCACACCTGCCTAAGAGCTCCATGGCAACCTTGTTCCTTCACAATCGTTTAACCATGTCTCTGGCCATCACTCATGCCTGGTTTGAGCCACTCAGAATGAAGGTCTTGGGCCTCACCTCTAGTCAAGTGAAACCAAGAAGCTGAAGGAAACAGTCGTCTGTTCACTCAAAGTGAATATAAAGATAAAACTGGAGATTTTTCTGTTAGGCTTAATGGATAAAGAACTTAGGGGAAAAATTGGAACTCTGATATTATATATGCTGACAGCAGTAAGAATACTTTAGGTAATTGACCAAGGTGGGATGACTGACAGCAGTCCTCCTTCTGCAGTGGAAATTATTTTTCTCTCTTGTTTTCCTTTTTTGCCTTACCTGCAGCGACATCATGTCGGGTCTGTATTGTTTCCGGAACCCGAGATCATACATGAGGAATTTCAGCATTTCGAAAGCTTGCTCTTCACTCATATGGAGCAGCAGCACGCCGGCCACGAAGCTGATGCCCTGGCAATAGCCCACCTCCTTGTCCAGCAAGGAGTAGGCTTTCAGCAGGTTGAAGAGCGAGAGCTGCCCTGCGCCCAGTTGAGCCGAAAAGTAGGGATGGGTGGGGAAAGTCCTTCCTGGGACAAAACAAGAGGGGGTGGTGAGAAGTCAAATCGGGGCCCGGGGAAATCTCCCTTGAAGAGAGAGCTCCAGGGAAGGACCATAAAAGCGATTCCAACTGAAAACAAACATTAGCCTGAAGTTCTTTGCATGATGATCAGTACCACCAACCACTTCACAATTATGCAGATGCTCTGCAACACACACACACACACACAGCCCACAGCATCCACAAGATGAGTTGCGCCCTCACCCAGGTCCACTAGGATGGCATGTTGCTGCGCTGTCAGCTGCTTCAGGAGGTCTTGGTAGGAGATGTCTGGAGGCTGTTGCTTATTCGGCAGCCGGTGTCTGACGCGGTGCTGCACGGCCAGAAACTGCCAAATTTCTCCCCGGCGGCTTTTGGGGACACCTGAACAAAAGAGTGAAGAACGGAGAGGTAGCGAGAGATGCATTCTTTCTTTCTTTCTTTTTTTTCCTGCAATCACACATGTATACACAGGGACAGCCTTGAGTGTGTGCAACAGCTGAAAATATCTGGCAGTGGTGAGGCTATTTCTGAACCTAGGAAAATAAGCTTTGCCTTTGATTGGCCTTGAAAGATAAGCAGGGCTGAACTTTTATTAGGATGGTGGGTAGAAGGCAGAGGGAATCTGCCGGGTTATAAAGTTGTCCCACTGGAGAAATGCAAGAAAAGTATATCAGAAGAAAGGACAAGGTGGCAAACACACACCCACAAATACACAAACCCAACCTGGGTGTGCTCCTGAAGCACCAAGAATTGACTTCCACTCAAGGACATCTTTCCCTTTTTCTTCCCTCAATAGCTAAATCAAAACTCAATGCTGTAATCAATCACTAATCAACTAAGAACACCAAGCAGTAGATGCAAAGGAACCCCATTGAGATGTTGAGACACAGCAACATTTCTGTGTTATGTCCCTCCCCTGCGTATGTGTCATTTCCCCTGAAGATGCCAAGCCTTGGTTGCGACCCATGTTTTTTTTTTCCCAGACCCTAAGTCGGTCAGTCCTAGAGGAGATCAACTCTGACTGCTCTTTAGAAGGCCAGATCCTGAAGTTGAAACTCAAATACTTTGGCCACCTAATGAGAAGGAAGGACTCACTGGAGAAGAGCCTAATGCAGGGAAAGATTGAGGGCAATAGAAGAAGGGAACGACAGAGAATGAGGTGGCTGGAGGGAGTCACTGAAGCAGTAGACATGAGCTTCAATGGATTCCAGAAGATGGTAGAGGACAGGAAGGCCTGGAGGAACGTTGTCCATGGGGTCGCGATGGGTCGGACACAACTTTGCAACTAACAACAACAACAAAGCCCTTTGGATTCAGAACTTACCATCTTTCAGGGTGGTATGAATGTCTTCCACATCACATCTGATCTTGGCTCTGCAGTTCAACAGTTTCTTGTCCCAGATATTAATAACATCCTTCTGACAGGTTCCAACTTCCTCATAGTCCAGTTTAACTTTCCTGGATTGCAGCTCATCTCTGCTCGCTGCAAGAGAGAAGACCCGTGAGGCATCTTCAGATAAGCACCATGTTTAGATGTGCATATACATGTTCGGATGTTCGGATGTCCCAGAGACACCAACCACAACAAGGATCCCGTTCAATGAATCAGTCAAAAGGTAAGTATAGAATTCTGCTTTTTGTACTAGGCAGTACACCTTAAAAGACTTCCCACAATCCAGTTCTTCAACTAACATTTCCCCAATTAATATTAAATAGCAGAAGATGGCCTTCCTAGGCTGGATCAGATATTCCTTCCACTCAAAAATCAGCCTAACATTCAGAGCTTACTAGGTTTGCCACCAAATGTGGGCTTTGGTTTAATCCAGGGGTCTTCAAAGTTGGCAACTTTAAGACTTGTGGACTTCAATTCCCAGAATTCCTCAGCCAGCCAGGGCTGGCTGAGGAATTCTGGGAGCTGAAGTCCACAAGTCTTAAAGTTGCCAACTTTGAAGACCCCTGGTTTAATCTCTGTCCACGGGTATACAAATTGTGCCACCCACGTGAGAGATGTTCCTATCTCAGTGTCCTAGCTAGTCACAAAGAAGGGACACATACAACATACAACATTTTCAGAACAAAAAGGCTGCTTCCTCCACAATTCAGAATGTCAGTCGCAACCGTCACTTGCAATTAAGTCAGTCAGTGTGAACTGAATATTGTCGACAATTTAAAAAGGAAGCATGCAGCTCCTCACATGCCTGATTTCACTATATTGTATTTATTTCAGGCTTTACACTGATAGTTAATCACGGAACCAAATTTATAAAGTCTAAGACAGGGGTCTTCAAACTTGGCCCTTTTATGACTTGTGGACTTCAACTCCCAGAATTCCTCAGCCAGCTTGTCTGGCTGAGGAATTCTGGGAGTTGAAGTCCACAAGTCATAAAAAGGCCAAGTTTGAATACCCCTGGTCTAAGATATAACAGCAGCCATTCAGCAACTGCACAACAGAGAACGATCTTTGAACTTCCCTCAACCAGGGTTATGCACGCATTTAACAATGCAACAATCCTTTCTGAAGCAGGCAGACCGGATTAGTTTATCCAGAACTGAATCTTCATTCAGGGGAGGGGTGAGTCTTTATTGCGCTCTTTTGCATTTCTACCCACAACTTTTGCACTCCCCTTTCTCTCAGGTTTAGTTCTTCAATGGACCTTCGTGGCCGTGTGCTTCGTATTTGTGTGCCAAAAATTTAACTGATGTGCAACCAGCAACTTGGAAGTTGAGCGGAGTTACTACACAAGCCAAAAATGGCAGAGTGGGTCTTTGGGGAGGGCTGGCTGGGAGAAGAAATGGATTGTGCTTCATCCTTCTGGTCAAGTTCATTTTTTATGCCTACATCTAACTGAGAAGGTCCAGTAGCAGAACTTAAGGTGAGCACCTGGGACAGGTGAGATGGGTCAGATGGTGGTGGTGGTGCTGCTGCTGCACAAAGTCCCAGCCTGCCATCAACAACTGCCAGGTGGCACTCAATACTGGGGAAAAAGTTATCTGATTTGTAGGAAACAAACATTCCAGTTCCTTTAAAATATCTTCTGAATACCGAATGCCTCAATTTAACACGCCTCTAAGAATGCTAATGAGTAGGAAATGGTGGATATCCTGCCCAACCAAAGGAATTCGAAAGCCTGGGTCAATTACAATGTCAGGAAATGTTTTAAGCTTTGGTCAACAAAAGGTTGGGAACCTAAATTTCCTTTTCAAAGGCATCTTCTGGACCAGCGTCTTTCTTCTTGGATTGGCTAAACATGGCGTGCAGATTTCTTGTGTTAAATGCAACTCCTGAAGGACAGTGTGTCTCGACAGAGCTGGTTTAATGTCAAGATTCGGACTGACGAACCCAACCGAGCAAATGCCTTCGAGGCATTCCGATCTCTTAATGTGAAACTTTATTGAGTACATTACTCCCGGCACTAATGAAAACAAAACCAGCTCTGGCAAGACACCCCCCCCCCAAGTCCATAGAGAAAAAGCATTGAATTCTTCCTCCTCCCACTGGGTCAGGTCACTGTTGTCCAATCAAGTAGAAAAATATTGTGATGAGAAAGTACTTCTAGGTCTAGCCAGACACCTGGTGTAATGTCCTTGAGTCTTCTTAATCTTTGTAGTCTGCATTCCAAACCTCTCCCCTTCTCCCCCCCCCAACACCCCCAAGGTTGTAGGCAAGCTGAGAAGCAATAATTGTCGCACTAGCAAAAACTTGATACAGTGTTCCTTTGCCTGGGGTCAAGGCAGGAGAAGGCTGCAGAAGGAACAGCAGAAGGATGGATCTTTAAGGAGGTCTCTCCCATTCCTTGGGACAGATTGGCAAGCCCAGAATGGGAGAAGGGCTTCCTTAAGCACTCTCAGGATCTAAACCAGATTAACCTAATTCAGTGATGGCGAACCTTTTAGAGACCGAGTGCCCAAAAACTGGCCCCGCCCCCCGCCCCACCCCCGCTCCGCCCCACCTGCCTGCAGGGCCACTCACCATCTCCAGGGCCCGCCGCAGATCGCCCAGGTAGCCCAGCAGCACTATGGCGGTCACGCCCTCTGCCCGCGCCCTGCAGCATCAACTGTGCATGATGGGGTGTGAGGGCAGAGTCTTGTCTATGCTGCCTGGCTGCCATGTCCTTGGCTGTGCTGCTCCGCGTGGGCCACAGGGGCGACTCTCCTTCATGGGGGCTGCTGGAGAGGAGGGGGTCACGGGGGGAGGCGAGGCTGGGGCAATGGCATGTGTGCCCACAGAGAGGGTTCCGAGTGCCGCCTCTGGCCCCCGTGCCATAGGTTCGCCACCACTGGCCTAATTCATTAAGTGGTGCCCAAGAAGCAACTGGGAACCATGGCAAGTCCCTCAGGAAAGCATCTCATGCGGACCCTGTTCCTAACTATGGTCAGAGAGACCAGGCAGCTTTGGGGCCCAAATCAGTAAGCTTTTGAGGAGACCCATTAGAGCTCTTGGTTGGCTTTCTGCACCGATGCTTCAGATGTTGACACAAGTCCGATAGAGATCTTTAAAAATAAACCATCAACCCCCAAACACCTAAATGTGCAGGTGTCGCGTGTGTCTGGGTGCAAACCCACGCACAGGCCACAATGGGACAACTCTCACTGCCCCCAACTCTCTGCGGCCAATTCACCACGATTCCACGCCACCCAATCTTTGATATTAGTGTAACTCCTGTCCCGCGACGAGCTGTCCGGTGGCGAATCGGCTGTGGCAATCTGGCCGTGGTGAGACGGCTGGGGAGAATGGTCAGGGACCCCCCGCACAGGCAGAGATGGGGAAGCGGTGAAGGCGCAAAACTTACCTTCTGTAAAACAAAGCTTCCTTCAAACTCCTCGACAGCGTTAGGAAGAACAGGAAGTGTTAAAGTTGGTTAATCGATTTCATTAAGATGGATAAGGTTACAGAAGAAAAGCAGAGATTGGGGGGGGGGAGGGAATCGGAAGAAAAACAATTTCCAGCTGTTGAAACTTTGTTGTTTCCCCCCCCCTCCTGCAGCCCTTGGGTTTCTCCTGCACAGTGGTTGGCAAGGAAACAGCCCTGCCGGCCATCAACAAGAAGCCAAAATACCCAGAAGCCAAAATCTCAACTCAGGCAGAATTCCCTCTTGGTTATTTTCTCATTTTCCCCCTTTCACATTCATCACGGGGGGGAAGAAAATAAATGGCTTCATGGCTTTTTAGTTCATAATGCCCACCGATTAGAACACTCTTCATTCTCCGAATATATTCTCTGCTTTATTTCCCACGGACCTCCCTCGACATCAGTTAAATGGTAGATCGCCCAAATGATCTTATGCATCACCCAGGCGTTCAAGCGAGATATTAAAGGAGAAATAAAAGGAAACGCCAGCCTCTGCAACCGAGGGGGAGACGGGGATGTTACGATCAATTGGGCCAGCGGGCAGGGGAGGCAGGAACTACACTTAGGCTAGTGCAGGTAGGCAACCTTGGCTCTTTTATGACTCGTGGACTTCAACTCCCAGAATTCCTGAGTCAGCATCCACGAGTCATAAAAGAGCCAAGGTTGCCTACCCCTGTGCAAGTCCCAAAGTGAAGACTTGACATTATCCCATGGTCAAGCCGAAGCGCAACTTCTCCAGGGCTTGTTCCAGAGTAACCAATTTGGACCTTGCCTTCTGGGGACATCAGAGTCTGGGAAAAGGTCATACTCCCGTCTGGTCCCTGGAAGGTCTGGAGAGAGTTCAGAGCCCTGCAGCCATTCTGTTTCCATCTCTCCTTCTTCATCTTCAGGTATGAAACTATTCAGCCATGGTGACCATCAGTTTCCTCCTTCCTCTTGATGGTCAAGTCTAAATTATAATAAACAGATGGACCAGCTCTAAATCAGTGTTTCCCTGCTGGGGTGGGAATGGAGCCAGGGTGGGCATGGAGAGTTTCTGGAGACCATGTCCATAGGAAGGTCAACCTCTGTAGGCCAATATAGATTCTTGATATCTCCTCACTTCAATATAAGCAAAGGAGAGTAAGAAACCTGGGCAGATTTACTGTCCGTCATCGCTCAAATTCTTTGGACAGAGAAAATTAAGGCTTGTCCTCAAATCACATGGCTGCTGGATCTGGGCTGTCTCTCCCTGAAGGAACGAAGAACATCTAAAGCTGCCTCTGATGCCTTCTACTGCTTGGCACTGATGGTAAAGACCAGCAAAAGCAGCCACAAGGGCCTCTTAAGGCCAAGTGACATGTCCACCACTAAACTAAACATCTGATCCCCCAATCCATATTCAGAAATCATTGCGGGAGGAAAAAGCAAGCAAATGGGGAAGGAAGGAAGGAAGGAAGGAAGGAAGGAAGGAAGGAAGGAAGGAAGGAAGGAAGGAAGGAAGGAAGGAAGGAAGGACCATTAGCATGTGGTATGACTCCAGGAGAGATGTTGCTTTTAGAATGTTCCTCAGTTGCCTTCCATGCCCTGCAGCCTACATTAAGCAACTGCAGACTGAATTACTACTGCATGTAATGCATGAGAAGTGGTCCAAATAATCTCGTTTACAGCTGGTTTGCTAAGGGAGGGCATTGTTGGCTAAGAAGGGACATTTCTGCTCTAGTTCCAAGAAAACCTATTCCTGGATAAAGTAATTTGATTTAAAGATTTCTGTATGAAGGTTTCCAAAAAGGTTTTCTCTAGTGTGCCATTTAAAAGGAAAGTGGATGCCCCTCATCCCTCTCCAGACCTCCTGTCCCTGGTAGTCCACAGCCTGCACCAACCTTCCAGTTTCTGGTTTTCCTTCTCCATCCGGAGGAGAAGGATCTGCTGGTGGATCGCTTTTCTCCACAGGCTCTGCAGCTCCACTGAGTTCTTCTTCTCTCCGGTCTGATCTTGGACATCCTCATTTTGCAAGATGGAAACCAGGGGAACTTCGTCAAAAGACGGTGGAAGCGGGGATAACGGCAGCAGTTCTTTTTCATCACAGCCATCTGGAAAGAACCATTTGGTTAACCGTGAATTCAACCAATGCTATCCAGTATCTGTACTTGAGGTCTGATTTTAAGAAACACAGCCCAACCCCAATTGTGTATTTTTGATATTGCCCTAATCCACCCCATTATTTCTGTGTTACATTTCCCCCATTTCACCCCCTCAACCTATGAATCGTTGGTTGTGAACTCTGCAGAGACCTGAACAAACAGCTTTTGGAATTTGGTTTGGGCTGCAAAGTCCCTAATGCAGTGCAACTTCAGGCTCAACCTTATACGCCAGGAGTGGGGAACGATGGCCCTTTTATGACTTGTGGACTTCAACTCCCAGAATTCCTGAGCCAGCCATGTTGGCTTAGGAATTCTGGGAGTGGAAGTCCACAAGTCATAAAAGGGCCATCGTTCCCTACCTCTGCTATACCCCAAGCCAGAAACTGATGTGCTTGAAAGACAAACCAGCAAAACCCTTGACCCTTGAGCCGGGTTTTCTAGTTTTGTACCTCATCTGACTAATTTTAATATTTATCATTTTATTGTAAGCTACCCAGAATCATGCTGAGGTGGGCGATAGATAGATAGGGTGGGTGGGTGGGTGGGTGGGTGGGTAGGTAGGTAGGTAGGTAGATAGATAGATAGATAGATAGANTTATTCCTTGTAGCCCTGAAGCGCCTTCTAAGTAGGTTGAATAAACTGAGGTTGATGATTTACATGACTTTATAAATAAAGAATGTACTGATGGGGTTTTATGAGCCCCGTTTATGAGATAGATAGATAGATAGATAGATAGATAGATAGATAGATAGATAGATAGATAGATAGATAGATAGATAGATAGATAGATAGATAGGTGAGTAAGTGGGTGGGTGGGGTAGATGGACGGACGGATGGACGGACAGACAGATAAAACTGTATCCTGTTCAGAAAATAGAAACAAGGAAGAATACTTATTATTTTGGGATTTCAGATTCTACTATTTTAGATTTATTCTGCTGTTTTGACCCCTTTTCCTTGCCATGCAGCAAGAATGAGTCATTCTCTCACACTTGGTACCCCTAATGCATGGCTGTCAAACTCGATCGCGTCACGTGACGTATCGTGACGTATCATGACGTTTTTTTGCCTTTGCAGAGCTGGGGTGGGCGTGGCCTGTGTGTGATGCCTCCGGCTGGCGGGCCGCCAGTTTGACAATCCTGCCCTAATGGGTACAGACACAGGCAACACCATTTAACATCAAGCAACACTCCTTACATGCTGGATGGTAAAGGGATGTTCTTGAACCAACAGATCCCATCAACAATACAAAAGGGCTTTTATAACTCTCTGCCTAAAGAGCTCCGTAGCAGGATCCTTTATTTATAAATCAATCCATCAGGCTTTGAAGTAGTTGGAAATAAAAGGAAAGCGCACAAGCCTGTCTCTTCCAGCAAGGGCTCTTCAGAGATATGAACTCATGGGAGACAAAGAACCAAATTAGGGATCCCTTCCAGTATAGACTCCAAAGCAGCTGTTGGCAGAAGCTCTGGGGTCACCGTGGTTCTGAGCACAGGCAGCAGAAAAACAGAAAGTAGCCATGTTTTTCTTTATTATCGCAGAAAAGGGACAGACGTAAGATCGCTCAGGCTTTATATTTTATCAAGAAATATAGAAGAAGCATTAATCCTTTTTCTGAGGATCAATCCAGAGGTGAATCTAACTTTAGATGGTTCTCCCAAGTTTCCTGCGAAACGAAAGTCAAATCAACTCCAGGTGCGTTCAAGCAGGAATTGTAAGCAGAAATAAGAATATTTACCTCACGCCTGGAAGAGGTTTTATGATATGCTGGACTTTATTAGGAAAACCACCAGAGCTGCAGAGATGCTACTCTCTGTCCAGTCCTTCATTTAGAAGCTACTCAAAAGTTGAGATTAACGATGGGCAGCTTTGGCGAGAAAAGCATTTTGAGAAGAAGAAAAAAACGTCCCGATCTCGAAAGCGGAACTTCTATTTCAACTTCTTGTCTCTCTTTTGAGATACTTATTAACTGGCACATAGTTGATTTTGTTTAATCTAGGTCAGTGTTTCTCAACCTTGGCAACTTTGAGGGGTGTGGACCTCAACTCCCATAATTCCCCAACCAGCATGAGGTCCACAAAGCTTAAAGTTTCCAAGGTTGAGAAACACTGATCTAGATTATTGTTAGGTATTGTTAACTCCCAAATGGATTTTGAAATTTTCGCTTTTGAAATTTTAAGTACAACCAATTCATCATATCTTTCTCACTTTCAAGGAATATGTAAACACAGGAAAAGAAATTGTGTATTGCTGGTCAATAGACCTATGTCTATCTGTTCTTGAATCCTGGGCATTGCCTACAAAGCTTCTGAGAAGCTGAAAAGGACTCTGTCACCAGCAAACAAACTGGCAGGGACACCTTCCTGGTCTCATGGAAGAAAGAAACCGTCCCTCATTACATCACTTTGGTATTGACTAAGTGGTCACTTCAGTTGCTCATATACTTAGGTTGACAGCTTACACAAAGGTACTGTCAAGAATAAAACTTTGGCAGCTACGTGCCTCTTCATTTCAACTTGCCATTAGAATAAGGGCAAGGGAGGTATTGCTTCAGAATCGGTTAGATGGAGAAACGAAACATCTACGCTTCCACTGAAGGCCGTTAAGAGCCTGAAACCTTTTCAAGGACACTGCAGCAGGTGTGGAGAGGAAGCGGATGGTTCCCATAACCAAGTGAAATTGTTTATATGGATTACGAGATGGGGGTTTAGCCAGAGAAATTATTGTTTAATTCTAGGAACTGGTGTCCAGGAACCTCAGAGTTAGTTTTGCTTCAACGTTACACTGCCCTATATTCAATCAACGGTAAGATTTTCAGAAACGGAATGAACCTAGACTTTTATTCGGATTCTTGAGCTGGACGCTGACAGGTACTCCACATCCTTGAGGCTAATTAATGAAAGAATATGTTGGAACCTAGATGTGGATCTCCAAGAGACACCCATCGCTAAAAGAGAAAAGGAAATTCAACCACACTGCCGGAATCATTTTCTCCAAGTAGGAACAGACCTTGCAGCTGCATGGCTGAAGGAGACTTCTTCATGGGTGATGCCACCCTTAGGAAGATCTTCTGCCGCCAGGAAATCCGACGGGGGGGCAGGGTGAGACCCCCAGCATTTAGAGAGTCACTGCTGCAGACTGAGGAAGTCCTCTTTCTTTTCTCCACATCGCTGCAGGAAAGGACCAGGAGGAAGAAAACACAACGTAGGTCACTAAGAACAGCCCTTCTTGTGAACGCTGAGCCGTGGCCCATCCAAAGCCAGCAAGAGCGTTTATAAACCCCAAGTGGCATTCAATCACCAGGCTCAGGGGCAGCCCAGAGACTCCATGCGGGACCTGGCCTCACTTCGACCCAAGGGCATCTCCATTGGCACACAACCACCACAAGAAAAACATGCTTGCTTCTTTGCAGCCAGCCAGCCTTCCTTTCCTCCCCCCCCCCCCNCCCCCCCCCCCCAGTCCTTTATCTCAATTTCGTTATTACATCCAAACCTAGCATCTGATTTTTCAGTCCTGGAGCTAATGCACGTTCTATAAATAGCTCTCAAACCAAAACTAAAAAAAGGAAGCAATCTTAAAAAACGAATGAGTTAAAAAGGAGGAGGAATACACGTGTTTGAGGCACAACATTCTGTTATTTTTTTGTTTTTAAAGTAAGAAATCCCCTTCTTTGGTAACTGGAAGGGTGAATTGCTATCCTCCTACTCGACTGTGGGAAGTGTCTGAATAGACACCGTTGCTGCTCTTTCCATAAAGCAGTTTTAACCCACTTTGTGTTTATTTGGAAAAAGTGAGAGTGCCCGTGCTCCCTAACAAAGGTTAGGAAAGCCGGACAGCTGAGAAACACAAACATTTCAAAATCCACGGAGAAGCCATCCGGGCCAGAGATGGAGGAGATTCAAGGACCTCCCTTTCTGTGGTGCTCCTGGGAGAACTTTTCTGAAGGCCTTTTTCCTTTTTCCTGCTTCCTCAAGGAAAACGAAGAACATAAATAAATAGACGGTTAAACAATAAAGCGATTAACTATTGCTGAACCATTGCCATCTCTAAAAATCTGTCTCTCCTGCAGTTACAACAAGATGAAGTCCAACTATCTAGAGCAGTGTTTCTCAACCTTGGCAATTTTAAGGCACGTGGACTTCAACTCCCAGAATTCCGGGAACTGAAGTCCACATGCCTTAAAATTGTCAAGGTTGAGAAACACTGATCTAGAGGTAAAAGGTAAAAGTTTCCCCTGTCCAGGTGTGTCTGACTCATGTCCGTTTCTTAGCCGAAGTATTGTACAAAGACATTTGCTTATGTGGCCGGCAAGACTGTATGCTGAGGTGCATAGAATGCTGTTACCTTCTCACTGAAGTGGCACCCACCATGTTTCCATGAAAATAAGAGCTGGTCTTATTTATTTTTTTTGGCCTCTCAAAGAGGCAGTAGGCCTTATTTTGGGGGGATGTCTTATTTTTTCCCTGACACCTGCCTCACTTTGCGGTGGTGGCACAGACAGCCCTGTCCAGCAGGAGCCTACGTGGCTGCTGGCCCAATACTGCGGCTGCTCGCCGGCCACATGGCCCACCGTGCCATGCCCCTGCCATGAGGCGAGGCAGTTGGGGGAGGGTGTAGAGCTGCCCTAAGCGCCCCATAGGCACCCAAACACTTTTCGCCCAGAGGGAGACCAGAAGCTTCATCTGCTTGCAAATGGGGTGCTTGGAGACGGAGCGATTCGCTCCGTCTCCAAGCACCCCATTTGCAAGCAGACGAAGCTTCCGGTCTCTGTCATTTCTCTGTCCGGATGAAAAGTGTTTGGACGCCTACGGGTGCTTGGAAATGGAGTATTCCATTTTCCAATGCCCCATAGGCGCCCACACACAAAAGACTGGAATTTTTGTCTGCTTGCAAACAGGGTGCGTGGAGATGGAGCGAATCGCTCCGTTTCTAAGCGCCCGATTCCCAAATGGACCAAGCTTCCAGTTTCTCTCTGGGCGAAAAGTACATGGCGCGTCGCCTGCCTCCCCTCTACCTCCACGCTCAGACTTTCCTACGCTGCGCCAAGGTGTAGGAGGGCTGCGGCTGCTGCCGGACACCATCTGCCCCTGCACGCTCGCTGCTGCTTGTACTGGCCACGCCCACCCACCCCCAGGGCTTATTTTGGGGGTAAGGCTTATATTAGGCCCACCCCCAAAAAAATCAGGCTAGGGCTTATTTTCAGGGTGGGTCTTATTTTCAGGGAAACAGGGTATATATCTACTTGCATCTGCATGCTTTCTAATTGCTAAGTGGGCAGAAGCTGGAGCAAGGAACAGGAGCTCACCCCGTCGCCAGGAGCTCGGGTCTTGAACCCCGGCTGCCAGCTGATAAGCTCAGCATCTTTAACCACTGAGCCATCGAGCTCCCAGCAACTATCTAATAAAAGTTTAAATCTTCAACAGTCATAGAAATGATTTAACAACAATAAGGGGGGGGGACCCATAGGCATATCTCACAAGTCCTAAAAAGGTTATGAACAGCAAACTTCCAAAAAGGGAATTAGCAGTGTCCACAGTTTGGCTTTAAATGACCCCTGAAGCTATAATTCAAACAAGCATTCAGATAGGCTCTTCTGGAAGTTAAATATGTTTACAGTTTAATCATTCTCATTTTTCCTCCAGCAGTACAAAAAAAAAAAGTCTTAATAGTTTTTAGCATAATGCAAAACATTCCTTCCCTTGGGAGCTTGGATCATTTTTTATTTTATTTTATTTATTTTTTTTTAAAAATCGGTATTAAGTAAAACAGCAAAACCATTAATGCATTATGATAGTAATTACTTCCAAACATCATTTTCTTTGAATACCAGACGGCTCAACGTTATCCTTAAGTAAGTGTGTAAGAGGCCCAAGGAATTTCCAAAGAATTAGCCCACGATGAAACCCTGCTTTTATTTCAGACAGCGGTGAAACTCTGTTAAGAGTATGTATTCATACTTGTCTACACTCAAAGGGGGAAATTTTACAGAACTTCGCTATCCAACATATATAATACTTACAAAGCTACTTCCTTCTTCCCATTTTATGAACCACACTGAGCTTCTCCCAAAACAAAGAGGTCTTTCCTACCACCCTCCATAGACCTTTGCCGCAACATTCCACGCCCGTCGCCCAAAATGATGTTGTCACAATTTTTCCTGTGTGTAACAGGAATGCTTCTGGTTTGATCCAGCTGACCCGAGAGAAATGTTTATGCTGATGCTCGGCATTAATATTTGCATTTGCTTTCAGTTCAACTTCTCTTTTCCTTGGAAGAAACGTATTAGCTTAAGGCATCCAGCCCGTGCTTTAGTCTGCACTCCTTGAAAGAGAACCAAAACACGCGCATGCACTGGAGAAAAACAGCATGCAAGCTGCCTGCTTCTCCCTGAAATCTGCAGAAACCTTTTTAATGTTCTAGAGTCTAGACCAGGGGTAGTCAACCTTGGCTCTTTTATGACTTGTGGACTTCAACTCCCAGAATTCCTGAGTCAGAGTGGCTGGTTCAGGAATTCTGGGTATTGAAGTCCACAAGTCATAAAAGAGCCAAGGTTGCCTACCCCTGGTCTAGACCATCACAAGGAAGAAAAAAGTATGTTGGAGTGACTGCTGTGGCTCTCATCTAGATTAACCGAATAAAGAGGTCTTACGTCTTCATTTAGATTAAAGGGCACTGGTAAGTCCCAATTCAAGAGAAAGTAGATCCAGATATGTTAAAACAATTTTAATTGTATGGAATTTATAGGAAGTCAAAAATGTTTAATACAATGGTTGGATACTGACCAAAGAGAGAAGCAACCTGGAAGTAAGGAGAAACTTCATAAGAGTGAGGACAATTAACCAGTGGAGCATTTTGCCTTTCAGAAATCGTGGGCGCTCCATCACTGGAGGTTTTTAAGAAGAGACTAAGACAGTCACTTGTCTGAAATGGTATAGGGTCTCCAGCATGAGCAGGAGGGTTGGACTAGATGACCTCTAAGGTCCCTTCCAGCTCAATTCTATTCTAAGGTGAATCACAAAGTTAGAGATGAGCTTACATCTAAATCATAAACCAACGAGGCAGATTGAATGTCTACATCTTCCTTTCTTGTTCCCTAAACTTCAATGTTGACACCATAAAAGTCCCTCCACAGCCCAGGAATTACACAGAAGCATAAAAACCAGAGAGGTGGACTCTGGAAATAGCTCGGAGTGCCATGAACCACGAGATGGGCAGCAAATAATTTTAATTCAATTAACTTAATTTAACAGCTGGGTTCATCAGCAACCAGACAATCAAGCCACACTTTTAAAGAAGATTGGGGGCATCACCCTCCACCCCCCCACCCCACCTTCCAAATCAAAACATGCCTGAGACCTCCCACTGTGTCCTGCGTGAAGCTTAGCTGGCTGATTAAAAAGTGCACTGTGAAAATGAGACACTCGGCCCAGAGCGCACACCCACAGGTGGCTGCAGATGGCTGAAAATTGTGCTATTTGCAGGGTTATAAAACATGCCAAGATTCATCACGGTTCGCCACACAGCAAAAATGTAGAAATGCTCATTAGTAGAGGGACCACACGAAAAAAGATCAACATTGCCGGTGCTTCCCGTACCCCCAAAAAACTCTGAAGGGTAAACACGTCTATATTAACCAGCCATAATGGAAACCGAAGCTGTTATATTAAAAATAATAATAATAAAATATTTTTTCAAGGTCAGGCAAGTTTTACAAACTCGGGTAAGTTTATCTTCACTATTGAGCATCAGGTGCCCAAATTGGTTGTGGAACGACTGTCAGGAGATCCTGCCAAATTGTCTGTCCTGACCCCAAACCCCAAAAGGATCGGGAAAAAAAATATCCTTCCACACCCTTCCATAGGACGAGAGAGTAGACAAAAAGAGACCTATGAGAAAGCCACAGAGACTTACAGGGTGGCTTTTAAAAAGAATACGGGTTTACAATCAGAGTAACGTTAGGAAGGACCCTGACACGTCTCTCTCTCTCTCTCTCTGGGTTGGCAATGTTGATGTGACCCAAAACGGCATCAGCGTTGACGAGTGGGGCCACGTTAAGCCCATCCTCTGCCTGCAGCTTGGAAGACATGTGTCCGCAGAGTGCATCAGGCAAGGATGCTCATGAGATGCTTCCTAAGCAGCCGGTGAGGCTCTGGCAAGCCAGATGGGTGGAAATGCAGCAGAGCAGGCGGGCAGGAATAGCGCTCTCACCTCCTGGTGGGATCACCTTCGGGCGGAGAAGCCGGCTTCCCAGAACTCTGGTACAAGCTTTTCAGGAAAGAAGGGGCAGAGAAAGAAGAAGGGAGGCTGGGAGGCACCGAAGACTCACTCTCACTGCGGGTACGTCGGGCAACTGCCAGCCTGGCAGCAGGCAATGAGAAAAAGGAGAGCCGTAAGTTCTAGTCCAGCGTTTAAGAGAGGCCCAACCGCTCATCTACGTCCACTGCACAAAAGGGCAGAGTTAAGCCGAGTGTCAACTGGGCATTGTCACCAAAACAGCATGCAAATGGGGTTCCAGGGCAACTCTCCATAGTCAACTCACTGCAGCCAACACGCCGTGGCCAACTTGCCACGGGACAACTCGCTGCCACGGGACAATGCAACAGTGTATTGTTTCTTTTAGTTACTTTTAACGTTGGCGACCACATTTTCATCGAAATTATTGCAACTCTTGTATTTCTAGGGTTGACTTTATTTCATTATTATTAGCCACGGTTCCGTTGAAATTAATTTAACTTTTCTGTTTATAAAGGAGCTGAAATGAGGAGCGGGGGTGTTTCTTTGGTACTCTCTGAGCTTGGTTGTTTTCTTGCGGACGTTTCATTACCCAAACTAGATAACGTCATCAGTGCATTGCTGGGAAATGAAACGTCTTGCAAGAAAACGAGTAAGCTCAGAGAGCACCCGGGACCCCTCACTTTTGTAGTTGTTGAATTGTCCTGAGGCAAGTTGTCCTGGGGTGAGTTGGCCACGGCAAGTTGCCCTGGCGAGTTGTCCCATCCTGTGCAAATGAGCTGAGCTGGGGATATGAGAGTTTACTAAACTGAAGAGGATGGGTGCCACACCGGAACGCAGCCAGGGGGTTAAATCTAAGTTTGGTCCTCAAGTAGAATGGGAGTCAGTGGATGACTTCCTTCACGGATAGCTTTCCCTCAGCAGAATGGGTTATCAAATAAATGGTCCCTGGAATGTGAGGCTGTGGCCAAAAATGCGGGCTGAACCCCTAAACCAGGGGTAGGCAACCTTGGCTCTTTTATGACTTGTGGACTTCAACTCCCAGAATTCCTGAGCCAGCCATGCTGAGGGGAAAGGGAGAGGTTTCCAAGCTGAGCCATGCTGGCTCAGGAATTCTGGGAGTTGAAGTCCATGAGTCATAAAAGAGCCAAGGTTGCCTAACTCTGCACTAAACCCTCTTTTGGGGAGACTGCCTCACAATGAATGGAGGACCCGTAACTGACTGCCCTTCCCTCACATGCGTGTGATCTTCAGGCCCTCGCCTTTAAATTACAAGCAAAGTCACTACCTGCTGGATCAGCGGCCCCCAACCTTTTGGGGCACCAAGGACCAGTTTTGTGGAGAGAGGTTTTTCTGTGGATCGGATGGGGTGTGTTTTTTTGTGCTGCCTGCATCCTGTGGATGGGGCTTCTCTTGTTTGTGCAGACTGGTTTCTGGCAAGCTGCAGACCACTGCCAGTCCAGAGACCGGGGGTTGGGCCCCCCTGTGCTAGATCAGAGGTCCCCAACCTTTTGGGCATCAGGGACCGGTTCTGTGGAGAAAAGTTTTTCCTCGGACCAGAGAGTGCGTAGTTTTGTGTGCTGCCTGCATCCCACAGATGGGGCTTTGCTTGTGTGGACCAGTTGCTGGCATGCCACGGCCCGGTGTCGATTCACGGACTGAGGGTTGGGGACCCCGTGCTAGATGACACATTTTACAGTGATTTATGCACACACTCACACACCTGCGTTTCCAGGTATTGTGCAGAGCCTGCTTTGAATCAAACCAATCATGTTTTAGGATCCAATCTGGGTCGGTCACCAGGACCAGAGGTTTAGTCTTCTGAACTTTTGGACTCGTTGCTGAAGACCATGCTCGGGGAACTTCTCTCTAGCACACTCTGCTAGTGACAAGCTCCTTGAAGATGGGCTCTAGCACTAATCCGAAAGCTCGGAAGACTAAACTTCCGATCCCGGTGACCAACCCAGATTGGATCCTAAAACTTTATCCTGGGAGACGTATAGCTGCCTTCATTCGCAATAATATTTTGTTGGGGGTTGGGTGGAGGTTGTGGCGTTGTTTTGTTTGCAATGTGCAAGAGAGAGAGAGAATGTACAACAGTCAGTCACTTTCTGCAGGGTGATCCAATTCTAGGCATTATTTACACAATTCCACGGAATAAATATACACCCGTCAGGGTTTTTCTGAGGATGGGGGCAGCAGATTTATTTCCACTTTTAAAATGGAGAACAAGGTCTGGGGCGTTTTTTCTTAGCCCCAGCTGCTAACCAATTCTTGGAAGGAACTGTTTCCGTGCCAGATAAACAAGCACGTGGAAAAGCAACATCTGGCAAGGGAAATTGCTGCTCTAATTAGGAAAACTGGCTGAGCAAGCAAGAGCCCAAGCTTTGCCATGACAAAGACAAAGAAAGAAATGCTGGGCTGTTGGACTAACCACTGTTATTGCTCAGGTTTCCTGTTGTGCTGCAAGGTTACAGCCTGAGCTGGAGGAAAATACTAAAAAAAAGAAAGAAAGAAAGCAGAGAGGCAAGACACTTACAAAGCGATCGCATGTCAAACAAACTGATTTCTCAACTGTTCTGAAAAACAAGAGTTCAGAAGAAATGAAACCTGCAGTTTGCCTAAAGTTCTTATTCCCTTAGAATTAGGTAGGGTGTAATTTGGCAAATCTAGACAGCATACTAAAAAGCAGAGACATCACCCTGCCAACAAAAGTGTGTATAGTCAAGGCCATGATTTTCCCAGTTGCAATGTATGGCTGTGAAAGTTGGACCATAAGAAAGGCCGAGTGCCAAAGAATGGAGGCCTTTGAACTCTGGTGCTGGAGAAGACTCCTGCGAGTCCCCTGGACTGCAAGGCGAGCAAACCGGTCAGTCCTAGAGGAGATCAAACCTGACTGCTCTTTTGAAGGCCAGATCCTGAAGTTGAAACTCAAGTACTTTGGCCACCTTATGAGAAGGAAGGACTCACGGGAGAAGAGCCTAATGCTGGGAAAGATTGAGGGCAAGAGAAGAAGGGGACGACAGGGAATGAGGTGGCTGGATGGAGTCACTGAAGCAGTTGGCGTGAGCTTAAATGGACTCCAGAAGATGGTAGAGGACAGGAAGGCCTGGAGGAATGTTGTCCATGGGGTCGCGATGGGTCAGACACGACTTCGCAACTAACAACAACAATTTGGAAAGAAATGGCTATCAGAGAAGGAATCCAAGAATGCTTCTTCTGACTGAAGTTGCGAGGAATGAACCAGCTAGGCCCAGCACCTGGACTTTCAGAATGGCTTAATTTTGCCCTTGGCCATGAGTGGCTATGATAGCCACTTTCGCAGAGGAAAAAAAGTAAATTGGATGAGGCTGCTGGTGCAGAAATGCCCAGGAAATGGTTAAAAATAAGGGAGGAAGAGGCCCAGGTTAGGGATGCTCCCTCATCAATTCCCTTGAGCTGTTTATCACCGTTCAAGGACACAGCAAACCAGTTTTCTGAAGCAATAGTCCCAGGCAGATCTGGATCTGTTTGGTCAATTCCTTCTGCCTCCTGTCCCAAAGGTGCTTTTCCAACAGGCAACTGGGCTTTCTTCGTTTTTTTCCTTTGAAAACGTTTCATTTTCTCATCCAAGAAGCTTCCTCAATTCAGTTCAGTGAAGTTAACTGAAGAAGATTCTTGGATGATAATAGCAATAGCGCTTAGACTTATATACCGCTTCACGGTGCTTTTACAGCCCTCTCCAAGCAGTTTATAGAGTCAGCGTCTTGCCCCCAACAATCTGGGTTCTCCTTTTACCGACCTCAGAAGTATGGAAGGCTGAGTCAACCTTGAGGCCTGTCCAGATTGAACTCCTGGCAGTGAGCAGTGAGTTAGTCTGCAATACTGCATTCTCACCACTGCGCCACCACGGCTAAAGTGAAATGTTTTTAAAGAAAAAAAAACCCAAGAAAGTCCAGTTGCCTTTTGGAAAAGCACCTTTGGGACAACCATGACGTGGATGATCATCTAATTTGCAGATGACACTAAGCTGGCAGGAATAGCCAACACCCCAGAAGACAAGCTCAGGATCCAAAAAGTTCTTGACAGACTTGAACAATGGGCCCTATCCAACAACGTGAAATTTAATGTGGAGAAAAGCAAGGTTTGACACCTGGGCAGGAAAAACCAAAGGTATAAGTACAGATTAGGCGAAACCTGGCTCAAAAACAGTAACTGTGAGAGGGACCTTGGAGTCCTAGTGGACGATCACTTAAATATGAGCCAGCAGTGTGTGACAGCAGCCAAAAAAGCTAATACAATCCTTGGTGGAATAAACACAGGGATAGAATCAAAATGACACGAAGTATAAGCACTGCTTTAAAAATCCTTAATAAGACCACACCTGGAATAATGCATCCAGTTTTGGTCACCACATTATAAAAAAAATGTTGAGACTTTGGAAAAAGTGCAGAGAAGAACAACTATGATGACTAAGGGCCTGGAGACTAAAACTTGTGAAAAACGGTTACAGGAATTGGGTATGGCCAGTCTAGAGAAGACAAGGAATAGGGGTCACATGATAGCAGTATTCCAGTATTTGAGGGGATGCCACAAAGAAGAGGAGGGTCAACCTATTTTCCAAAGCACCAGAAGGCAGGACAAGAAACAATGGATAGAAACTAATCAAGGAGAGAAGCGACTTGGAATTAAGGAGAAACTTCCTAAGAGTGAGGACAATTTACCAGTGGAACAGCTTGCCTTCAGAAGTTGTAGGTGCTTCATCACTAGAGGTTTTTAAGAAGAGACTGGACAGCCACCTATCTGAAATAGTATGGGATCTCCTACTTGAGCAGGGGGTTGGGCTAGAAGATCTTCAACATCCCTTTTAGCTCTATTCTGATTGATTGAGAATCTCCACAGACACTTCTACCTCCTGAAAGCCATGTAGCATCTAATTCCCAAGCTCCCTGTGTACTGTTTCCTATCCCTGCCCAAACCTGGGCAGATATTTCAGCCTGACAAGGGAGGAGATTCTGCATTTTAGGGATAAACCCACTTTTTGATACTAAGGGTTTGTGACCTCTTGAGGTCTTAAGAGTTAAATATCCTAAATGTCCCGGTTTTGGGCTGACAAAGCCCTGAAGGACTCTTTGTCCTCAGAAATGGGTCCCATTGAAAGCAATAAGGGAGACTACAATGCCACAAGAGTCTTTGCATACACAGAGTCAACTCCTCTGGGTTTTGTGAAAGCCAGAGGGTGTGTCAACCAGGCAGGGATTAAACTCCCACCGTATCTCCTCACACAGAGCAGTGTTTGAAGGTGTTCAAAAGTTGCCGCTGCAATCTGACAAAAAAAACCCTTTTTTTCCAAAATGATTCAGCCCTAGCTGGCTTCTCATTCATTTCAGACCGGTCTGAAATCCTGAGAATAATGTTTTAATCCCCGCCATTTGGGACTGATTAGGGGGAGGACAATTGGGCTTTACAAGATCTCTCTTTTCTCTTCCCCTTTCTTTTTTTCGGACTTTCAACTTCTGAATGTTGGCCTGCTAAAAATGTTGATCATAAACCTTGAACAACTGGACTGATCCAAGTTTTGCTCCTAATTTTCTTTTGCTTAGGATGGATTCGTGCTTCAAATTATTTTCTTCTTAAAATAGCACCAGTAGACCGTAAACGCTCCTTTCCCCTTTTAACACTGAAGCAGTTTTGGAGGAATGGGGGGGGGGGGGAGACCCTGTTTTATTTATACAAAGCAGAATTCAATTCAAGTCTGGATTGAAGCTACACAATTTCAAGCAAAACAAGCATCTTTGGAAAATGTTCCCTTGCTTTCTCTAAATTTTTTTCAGGGCTGAGATTTAAATCTGTAGAATCTTGGAAATGGCTATTTTAAACTAAAGACACCTGTCTAGGTGCACAGGATAAATGACAATTTTGTAGTCCCAAAGCTGCTTTTTCAAAAAGGCAATTGGACTTCCTTGTTTTTCTTTGATGACGTTTTGCTTCTTATCCAAGAAGTTTCTCAGGTGACCTTGAGGAGATAGACAAACCTCCAAATGGCCTCAAGGACTCTCTAAAACAGTGTTTCTCAACCTTGACAATTTTAAGGCATGTGGACCTCAACTCCCAGAATTCCACAGCCAGCATTGCTGGCTGTGGAATTCTGAGAGTTGAAGTCCACATGCCTTAAAATTGTCAGGGTTGAGAAACACTGCTCTAAAAGAAGGCAAATGACCAGCTGTCTGCAAGGAGTATAAATCCTTCCATTCCCCACCATCCAGTCAGAGCTGAAGAAAATTTTTGGATGAGAAGCGAAACGTCTTCAAAGAAAAACAAAGAAAAAGCAACTTTGGGACCAGCGTCCCCTGGATGACCGAGATTCTCCACAGATAATTTTGTACCTTCATTTTTATAGGGACTAAAATGTATCTCTGTCAAGAAACCTGTTAAAGAGTTGAGGCGATAGGCATTATTTTCATTATTATTTGAAGCGTACACCGCTACGTAAAATACGCTGCAACTGTCCCATCCCAGCTTCAGGCCATCTGCATGTCTGAAGGCAGTCCTGGATCTCAGGAGGCCTCCCCAGATGGGCATCCAGCCAGCATCTCCTCTGAAGAAAGCCACTTGCCCCCCCTCCCACCCCCAGCCCAACTCACCTGCTCTGTTCAGTTGAGTTCTGCCTCAGGAGGGGCGACCGGACGCTTTGAGACCGTCCATCCTGGAAAGTGATCCTCTTCTTGGAAGCGGAGGGCGGGTGGCTAAATGTGTGGGCGCGTCTCCTGAACTGGGGAGAATCGGAGTCCTCTTCGGGAAAGGGGTGCCCAGCCAAGGCGACGGGAGATGCCGGCGGCGTGGAGGGTGGGGAGTCCCCGGAGGAGCAGTCCTAGAAGCCACAGACACGGATGAGGCGCTCTCCTGATGACCCACACCTTCTACGCACCTCCCAGGCCAAAAAAGAGAGGTGACTTTCCCCGCACAAAGACAGGCGCGCCTTGCAGCTTAAGAACCAAATGTGTAAAATCCCACTTTGCTGGCGGAAGGGAGAACACAGTCGGTCCACCTTCGACGTAGCCCCAGGGAGTCCAAACGCTACTAGAGGACCATCTGGAGAGGGAGGAAGAAGAGGAGGAAGCGAGCCAGAAGCCCACCGCCTCACCAAAGCTGGCCCCTTGGCCCGGTTCCTGGATCTGGGGCCGACAGGATTTCCCTGCCTTGTCCAAGCTGCATCTGTTATGAGCTCCACTTTGGATAACCCGACAGAATAATTGAAAACCACACAAACAGCCCTTTATATCCCGGGGAAGGGAAGGGGGGGAACGATCTCTATTGTAGGAGTGACAGGGAGAGCATTTAAACAGGAAATAAGCGGAAAAGGTACTATTCACACCCTGCTTAGCCCAAGAAGACCCTCCCTCCAGGGACAACGCTCAGATGCTCCCCATGCTGGCAGAGACAGGAGAAAATTTTTCTGCTTATGCAAAGAAAGTCCGGGGTATTTATTATTTCCTTTTCTCTCAGTTGTTCTCTTTTAACGTTGAAATTTAAAAAAAACCACAGGTAGTCCTTGACTTACGATCGTAACCCAGCCCAAACTTTCCCTTGCTAAGACAGACAGTGGTTCAGTGGGTTTTGCCCCATTTTACGACTTTCCTTGCCACTGTCGTTAAGTGAACCGCTGCGGTTATTAAGATAGTAACAAGGTGGTTAAGTGAATCTGGCTCTCCCCCCATTGACTTTGCTTGGCAGAAGGTCACAAGAGGGGAATCACGTGACCCCGGGACGCTGCCACCGTCATAAATATGAGTCCGTGGCTAAGCGTCCGAATTTTGATCACGTGGCCCTGGGGACGTTGCCACGGTCGTTAACTGTGAAGAATGATCATGAGGCACTTTTTTCACTGCCGCTGTAATTTCAAAAGGTCACTAAGTGGGTAAGTGTAAATTGAGAACTACCTGTAATAAAAACAAGGAAGACGGCGCCTTTGATTCTTCTGCAATGGGTTCTACCCTAGGCACTTCCTCCCATTTAGAGGAACAGAATAGAATTAAAAACTTTACTGTCACTTTAAATGTGCACTAATCAGCACACATTAAAATGAAATTTTCTTGCATTCACCTCAAAAAAATACCATTGTGCATATACCCCACATACACACACATATATGACACTGAGAAACATCACAGTCTAGTTTGAATGTATACATATATATGGCAAGGGGGGGGAAGAATCCTGCGAATTTACAAGACAGATGCAGTAAGGAACAAAGCTTTTTCAGAATCTAGTTGTTCTGCTATAAATACTTCGAAACCTCCTCCCGGAGGGGAGCAACAGAAACAGACCGTGAAGTGGGTGCGTAGGGTCTCTAACAATGCTTTGAGCTCTTAGCACTTACAAGCAGTATCCTGAATCACAGGAAGTAAGCTTCCTATAATCTTCTCAGCTGTCCTTACCACTCTCTGTGTGGACCTTCTGTCTGAGGCACTGCTCAACCCAAAGATGGATGCAGTTTTGTTAAAATGCTCTCAGTTGTGCCTCTGTAAAAAATGGCCAGGACAGAAGGAGAAAGATGTGCTCTCCTCATCCGGATGGCGGGAATGGAAACGCTGGTTTGCACGCTTTACAAGTGAGCAAATCAGATTGTTAGTGATCTGCACTCCCAGGTACTTAATACTATTGACTATTTGGTACTTACTTTGTCAGAAGTGAGATGGTTGCACCTTTCAAAGCTCTCCGTGCTCCCCAGGCGACCACGCCTGCGACTGGCCCCCTGCAAGACACAAGACACTGCTTGGTGTCATCTATTTCCTGCCTCGGTGGCTCCTGTGCTGACAGGAAGGCCCTCGTGAGCCAGTTTGGTCTAGTGCAGGGGTAGGCAACACCTTGGCTCTTTTATGACTCGTGGACTTCAACTCCCAGAATTCCTGAGCCAGTATGGGTCAGCATGAAAACCTCTCCCTTTCCCCTCAGCATGGCTGGCTCAGGAATTCTGGGAGTTAAAGTCCACGAGTCATAAAAGAGACAAGGTTGCCTACCCCTGGTCTAGTGGTTAAGGCACTAGCCTAGAAATCGGCAGACGGTGAGTTCAAGTCCTGCCTTAGCTATGAAAATCAGCGGGGTGACCTTGGGCCAGTAACCCTCTCTCAGCCTAGCCCACATCACAGGGCTGTTGTGGGGGAAAATAGGAAGAGGAAGGCATGTTTGTATATGTTTGCCACCTTGAGTTATTTGTAAAACTAGTAAAGGCGAGATACAAATAAATAAATAAGTACATTCCTCAAAACAACCCCAAACGGGGCAGTGATGTCAGCTGGCAGTCCTGGGGCCCCTTGTAAAGGCTGACTTTTCATAAGTCCGGAGAGTCTCCCTTCCAGAAGATCTATTTAAAAGCAAACAGTCACACCACCTGATGTACAACCTTGGGGGAAAGTACCTTTTCACAGAACTGTATGCCGTGCCAAATCGTGCCCTTTCAGTGTCAAACACTGCCATAATGAATAATAACAGAGTAACAGAGTTGGAAGGGACCTTGGAGGTCTTCTAGTCCAACCCCCTGCACAAGCAGGAGACCCTATAGCAGTTGTGGCGAACCTATGGCACGGGTGCCAGAGGCGGCACTCAGAGCCCTCTCTGTGGGCACGCGCACCGTCGCCCCAGTCCTAAGCCTTCAGCTGGGTTTTATAAAATCTTTTCGCTTTAGGCCTCCGCCGCCATGTGCAAAAAAAAAAAAAAAAAGGTTCAATAAGTCAATTTCAACTTCTCACGGGAAAAAAAAGCTCTTGCAAAGTTGGAATTGATTGATTGAACTTTTTAATCCCACCCAGTCTGCCATTACCACCGCAGCCACGCCCACCCAATGAGCCATGCCCAGCCAATTGGCCACGCCCACCCAATGGGCCACACCCAGCCAGCACTCGACGATGCATAAATGGGTTTTGGGTTGCAATTTGGGCACTCAGTCTCTAAAAGGTTCGCCATCACTTCCCTATAGCATTCTGGACAAATGGCTGTCTAGTCACTTCTTAAAAAGCTCCAGTGTTGGAACACACACAACTTCTGGTGGCAAGCTGTTCTACTGATTAATTGTTCTCACTGTCAGGAAGTTTCTCCTTAGTTCTAGTTTGCATCTCTCCTTGATTAGTCTCCATCCACTGTTTGCTTGCCTTGCCTTGTGCTGCTTTGGAGAATAGACTGACCCTCTCTTCTTTGTGGCAGCCCCTATTGGAAGACTGCTATCACGTCTCCCCGAGTCCTTCTTTTCACTAGACCAGGCACACCCAATTCCTGCAACCGTTTTTTAAAGCTAAATTCTGAGTTAGCAAAATTAAAGCCAAATTCTGAAGGAGTGCTTTCGAAGGGAAGTGAGCAGTTTGAAAATAGTAGCTTCGGAGAGAACAGAGCAATTCACAATTTTTGTGGGACGCTGTGAGAAAGGTACCTCGTCTGCTTCCTCGCCACCCACCAAGGAACTTAATTTGACAGAGAAAACGGTTTAAAATGACTTTATCAGCCACCTACTCCCTCCGAGCAGTTTATCTCACCCTGGAGAAGATGTTTTCGAGAGAGCTGGTTAAGGATTTCTTGGCTTTGTTCTTCAGGATATCCAGGGTGAATCTTCCACTACTGGTGCTGTTTTCTGGGATTGTGTTATTAGACGCGTTCTGCATGGTGAAGATAAACCATCCTATCAATGCAGGCAACTGAGGAGGTCCAAAATATGCAACTGCCAAACTGATTCCAAATAGAAAAATAATAAACACCGGAAATTGTCAGGGACAGGGGCTGGGCTGGGTTTCAGAAAAAGATAAAAGGCTGTTTTGTCCAGCTATTCCCCCCCTCCTCCCATTTCAAATTTTAAAAAGCCCCATTTTTTTGGGCAGAGTCATCCATTTAGATGCAATATCAGGTAGGCACGAATGCAGAACTGGCTTTTATTTATTTCAGCTACAGGAGGGTTCTCGACTTCAGACCGAAATTCGGACTGGAATTTTCCTGGTAGGTCTTTGCAATCAAATCGCTCCCTAATTTCTGACCATTTTTTTACAACAGCTGTTAAGTGTGAATCATTTCTTCCAAATGGGGGGGCGGTTTGGCTCAAAACTGGCAAAGGAAATTACAAATGGCAATCACCGGGCTATACCATTGGTCGTATTTGAGCCCAAAACTTCTGTTGTTAAGTGAAACATTGGTAAACTGAGTTTTGCCCCGCTTTACGACCTTTCTTGCCACATTTGTTAAGTAAATCACTGCAGTTGTTAAGTTAGTAACATGGTTGTTAAGTGAATCTGGCTTCCCCACTGACTTTGCTTGTCAGGAGGTCGCAAAAGGAGATCACAGGACCCCGGGATGCTGATGCAACAGTCATAAGTATGAGCCAGTTGCCAAGCATCTGAATTTTGGGGATGCTGCAAGGGTCGTAAGTGTGAATAATGGCCATAAGTCACTTTTTTTCGGTGTCGTCGTAACTTGGAAAGGTCACTCAACGAACTATTGTAAGTCGAGGACCACCTGCATTTAGCCCCAGTGTAACTTTGGTTGCTGAGCTAATGTTCGTAAGTTGAACTCAATTTAAACCAAATCTGGCTGGGACAGAGGAAGGCTTTCTAGGCTCAAGGAAATCTAGTCCTCGCTCCCTTAAGGATCCCAGCAGCAAAATTACCCCAGAAGGACAGTGCTAGTCTCTGCCCACCAAAATTCTATCTGGATCCTTCCTGCATCATCTGTTTTCAGATAAGTCTCCTAAGAAGCAGGAAGGGAACTGTTAGGAGGATAGGGATAGGGATAGGGATAGGGATAAAGGATAAGGATAAGGATGGAGTGGAACGGAACAGAACGGAACAGAACAGAACAGAATAGAATAGGAATAACATAGAACATCATAGCATAGCACAGAATAGACAATATGGAATAGAATAGAATAGAATAGAATAGAACAATAACTTTATTGCCACTTTAAATGTACACTAATCAGCATACATTAAAAATGAGATTCCGTGGCATACATGGAATGTAATTCCTGTGAACGGAATGGCTGAAGGAGGAGTCCCAGGGCCTCTTTTGAAGCTCCTAAGAAGGAGGAAGCTCACCATCGGGGCCTCGTCAACGTGAATGTGGGTCTTTTGCTTCGCCTCACACAAGTGGCGTAGATGGAAAATCAGCAGCTCGTTTTCTTCCTGGTCACTCACCGGCTTCATTTTCTGCCAGGGGAGGAAAGAAGCAAAGATTTTTGAGGACCACCTAGCTCCGATTTGCAGCCAGGTGCATCAGTGTTTCAAAAGGAATTTGCTACCTGACATGCGCTTCTGATTCCGGGAGGCTTCGCAGCTCACAGAGAGGCAGAGACCAACCCTTGGGCCATATCTGAGGGTGTGTGTGTGTGTGTGTTTATTACCTGAACACGCTCAAAGATGTCAGCCTGTTCGTTGTCACTGAGAGAAGACAGGTGCCTCTGAATCACGAGCTTGGCTCTCGGTGGATAAAGTCCTTCAAAGGGAAAAAGAGAGAGGCCGTTGAGCCTCAGAGAGCTTTACTCATTGGAAAGCCCTCCCAGCCACTTCTCTGAAGCCAGAAAGAGAGGATTCAGCTAAAGTGTGACTGCTGAAATCCACACAGCCTCTGCCAAAGCCCCAATGCCCACCCGTGCCCTCGCCACCCAGATGCCTGGCACCCCTTTGAGCCGAGAGAGACCTTCATCTCCCAACTTGAACATTGAAGCTCTCTGGCTAGAGTTTTGCATCTCCTTGCCGCACACAGGGTGGCTTGTTGCGAGCTTCCCCCCCCAGCCCTCTCCCCTTTCTCCTTAGGTTGAGATTTGGCTACCAACAAAAGCAATTTGCAAAGTCTGGGGATCATGAAGGAGGTGGGCGTTGCCCTAAGCAGCGTGGCACCTCCACTCCCAAAGGAGGGATTGGGGAGAAGGTGGGTGGGAGCAACACACTGAGATATCTCTGCAGTCTTGATCATCAACCCTGGAAGCGAAGGGCCTCTGCTGGCAGAAGACCACCCAGAAGACCCCACCCCACAGACATTCCATTTTTTTTTTATAACAAGTGTTATTAATTTTTCAATTTTACATCCAAGTATTTAGGAAGCAGTGTGGCGATAGGGTAACCAATAGTCCAATAACAAAATCTTTCGTGCATATCTCACGAAAGGTATTTTATTAGTAAACGAGGAGCTATTAGGACGAGAAATAGAATATACCTGTGAAACAAAGTAAGAATGTAACTTTCCAAATAATATGTGTATTTTAGACACGATAATTACTTCGTAATGAAATTAGGGAAATTTGGGTTACCCGAAGTTTAAATATTATGGTTATTAAAGGCTAAATTGGAACACGGTAATTGGAATTACCGTAAGTAAAACTTAAAAGCAGGACTTGGATATGTGTAAGTAAAATTATACTGACAAATGTATTGACTGACTGAGCTATAACTAGAAAGGTATTAACTTGAATGTGATATAATAATTAAGGGAAATAGAGAGGGAACTTTTAATGAGACATTCCATTTTTTAATCTTTAAATCACCATTTTTATAAGTCCAACCAAGAGGTCTCAATCAAGAGACTAGGAAAGAATAGGGTTTTTTTTAATCAAACTATTTCCATCTAAGGGTATAACTGGACACCCAGAAGCCAAAAGCTAAACTTGCTTGTTTAGAGGCTCCATCTTGGCTAAGGTGCACTCTGAGTTTGGCTTATAAAAAAAATATCTTAACTATTTGGGGCCTACTTCAAAAATCTGGGAGAGAAGACATAGGGCTCCTCCTCAGAGTATATCTATGCTCAGAGCACCACCCAGAAGCAGATATTCTCATTCCAGTCCTTGGTTCAGAATATGAAGTTCTTTGCAACATTTGCATACAGGTGAACACAGCTGTCATCGCAACCATTATTTGACAGGGGAGCCTTTGTCCAAGTAGATTTTATGTCAAATTACACCGTACTTTAAAATACCTTTTGGCGCCAGCAACTGAAACAAGTCTTCAGAAGCATGTGAAAACTTTCTTAGATACTTTGGTATTCTCTTGCTCACAAGCTGCCATCTTTTTTAGCTTTTTTTTTTTTGTTTAAGGAAAACAATGAGGCTCCAGCTTCATATCTTTTCAAATCTAAGAAACCCTGGATTTTATTTTTTGGGAATTGAAGAGAGCTTGCCATTAGTCGGTCCCTTCTGCAAACACGGCTTATTAAAGAACAAAACATAATCCGTTTTGGTCTCTGACTCACTACAGCAGGGGTCTTCCAACTTGGCCCTTTTATGACTTGTGGACTTCAACTCCCAGAATTCCTCAGCCAGCGTGCCTGGCTGAGGAATTCTGGGAGTTGAAGTCCACAAGTCATAAAAGGGTCAAGTTTGAAGACCCTTGAACTACAGCTTTCTCTCTCTCTCTCTCAATGCTGGATTTTAACACAACCTCGATGGCTTTATGGCTTTGCCCACCAGATGGGGCTGATCACCAAATACATGCTTTCTGAAATAAAACACTGATAATCATAGGAAACAGAAATAGGTAAACATTTCTGCTCCAGCAGCAGCAGCAGCAAAATATTGTAAGACAGTCAGTTTTTATCCTTGATACCTGATACCCATCCAGGGAAAACACTTCCCATGTGACTAAAAGGCATTTCTCAAGTTGAATTAAGAGTTAGTCACACAACCTTTAGCAAAAGAAGAATGATGAAAAAAAATATCTACTCAACCCATCACCTATAAGCAAATCAGAAGGGAATGTTTTTACTCGCTCTCTAAGAGAAACCAATCAGCACACAAGGAAATTTCTGAGGACTGTTAAGAGGTAACCATTCTGTGCACACTTCACTCAGACCCAGAAGAATGTCTAGGATAATTAAACATGAGAATAAACACGAAATCACTTGCATTAAAAGGATGGCATAGCTGTATTTGGAAGACTTTCGTGGTTCTGGTCCAGAAAGCAAGCATGTCAGAACTGGAAAAGGAGAGCAAATCTTTGGGGACCTCTTAGTTGGAAAAAACAAAACAAAACAATTGCCCAGTCCTTCACCAAAATGTCAAATGAGTAGAGCAGGGGTCTTCAAACTTGGCCCTTTTATGACTTGTGGACTTCAACTCCCAGAATTCCTCAGCCAGGCACAAGTGCCTGGCTGAGGAATTCTGGGAGTTGAAGTCCACAAGTCATAAAAGGGCCAAGTTTGAAGACCCCTGGAGTAGAGAAATCTTTCAAAGAAAGTTAGGCCCTAACTCCCAGATTTGTTACTTTTCAACTTTGAAGGAAAGTTGTAAAAGCAGCTCGCAAGAATGCTGTTATTAAATTAACACAGCTAGTTAGAAGGGTCGGATGAAGCCCAGACTGAAGTAGGAGCTGGGCTAGGAAGGCCTGGCTGATCTTTCCAGAAGAGCTTCTAGGGCAGTGATGGTGAACCTTTTAGAGACAGAGTGCCCAAACTGCAACCCAAAACCCACTTATTTATCGCCGGGTGCCAGGTGGGGGTGGCCCACCGGATGGATGTGGCTGTGGTGGTCATGGCAGATTGGGTGGGTGTGGCCAAGGTGGTCGTGATCACCTCAATGTTGCTCGTGGGGAGGGACGTCTGTGGGGGCTGGGCAGGATTGGGGGAGATCCAGGGGGTCTCTGGCAGGTGGGACGGTGGGCAGGAGGCTCGTCCTGCGGGGTGAGGCGAGGCAAGGTAAGGCAGGGCGGGGGTGCCATTATCACAGGGCAAGGTGAGGCAGGGGCAGGGGCGGCTGCTGCCTGACACCATCGGCCCCCGCACAGAGGCCAACGAGCGCATGGTTGCTGAGATGCATCCGGCCATGTGGGACCTCGGCGAGTTAGCGGGCAGCTGGTTGAAGAGGGACGGTTGCCATCTCCGGGGCATGGTGCGTGTGCCCAGAGAGAGAGCTCTGAGTGCCGCCTCTGGCACACGTGCCATAGGTTCGCCACCACTGTTCTAGGGAGAGACTATCATAACCCCTTGATTGCTATAGCAGTGTGAGGCTGTTCTTCCAGATACTGAAGCCAAACATAACCAGAACTAAGGCATCCCTTCCTTTTGCTAAGAGAACAAAACATCTCTATTTTCCCTGCCTTTATGGTAGTACACACAAAGGCATCCCCATCTGTGACTGCGCTTGGGCTCTCATCATTCAAATGAGCAGCAACTGATAGGGAGGAAGACTTGGGGGCAAATGGGCTGGACCGGCAGGTGACATGGGGCAGATGGCGCTGCAAGCCTGTCCAGCCCACCTGACCCCATGAAAGTCTTCCACGGAGAGGACGGTTTGGGGGAGAGTGTACTGGACAGCCCTTGCAGTGCTTTCTTCCAGACTATGCAAGAGTTAAAACCTGGCTACCTTCAATCCTTTCGCACAGCTTGTGCAAGGAGTGCATCGGACAGGCCTCGCACAGTTTGACCTGGGTCTTGGCATTCTGCAGGGCTGCTGCCGTGCTAAAGGCTTGCTTCAGAGTCAGCATTATCTCATCCACCTAGAAAGAGAATGTCAAGATTAAACCTGGGTGTTTTTAAGACCCTGGAAGAGCTTTCCCCCCAGGTCGAGCGAGGCTCCCAAACCAGCCCCATAGAAAGGGCACAATAGAACTGGGCAACTTTTTCTGCTGCTGGGCCCGTGAAGTGGGCCGGGTTCCCGTGAATTTCAATGGAGCTTCCCATTGAAAACCAGATCACATCCAGCTTTCCAGGCATAATCTAGCCTGCAAAGAAGACCCCTCTGTCAGAGCACGGAGCTCCTTGATTGTCAGAAGCTCCATTTCTTAGTTGTTGTTGTTGTTGTTGTTTTTTATCAGTCAAACTCTTGTTGGAGGCTTTTCTGGTGTCCTGCAGATGGGAAGCAAACCCCCAGCCCAGGCGGTGTAAGATTCCCATCGCCTTCTGGCGCGAGAGGGACCTAACTTCACAAGGGTCAGAGGTTGCAAGTCACTGGCATACAGATTCAAATCCATCTCAGGCCTGAACGGTAGACGAACAGATGGGAGCTATTGAAGAAAACCCGCCCAGAGTCTGGAAGGCACGTCAACAAGACAGGAAGCTACAGGAAAAAAGCAACTTGGCGCTGAACCCTTTGACTTCTCTGAAAAGACTTGGCATTCCTCCTTCTGTTTCTCAGGGCAAACATTTGCAGAGAAAAAGGGAGAGCGGCCAGTCTTCTTTATCTGCAACCGGCAGAAGCTTGCGACAACGTTCAGAATCTGCGTAATAATATCTGCTTCTAAAACCACTCTCTGCAAGGGTTGTTAACCCATCTCTGCCTGGGACCCAAAGGGCAGAGAGTTATCTCAAGTTAGCGCTCTATCAAAACACTGTGAGTTTTGTTCTTCCAAAGTTGCTTTTCCAAAAGACAACTGGACTTTCTTAGGTTCCCCCTCCACCACCACCCCCCGGAAAACATTTGGCTTCTCATCCAAGAAGCTTCTTCACTTCAGAACTGGAATGTCTTGGATGAGAAACAGAACAATTTCAAAACCAAAAAAGGCCAGTTGCCTATTGGAAACGGACCTTTGGGACAGGCATGACCTGAACGGTTGAGAATCTCCATAGAGATATTGCGCCCAAGATGTAATAGAATAGAATTCTTTATTGGTCTATCCTGCTCTGTGGAGTAGAGAGTTGGTCTCTGATAGAAGGCCACCTGAAGAGACTAGAAGCATTTGAAATGTGGATTTACAGGCGGCTGTTAACGTATAAGCTGGGTTGACAAGATCAGAAATGAGGCGGTGATAAGCCGCCTGGGAAAGCCAAGGGAAATCATCAAAACAATTAAAAAACGAAAATTAGAATATTTCGGACATGTGATGCGACACCCAGAAAAATACGGCATGCTCCATTTAACCCTCTGGGGAAAGGTGGAAGGCAAACGAGGTCCAGGCAGAAGAAGAACATCGTGGCTTCAAAATCTAAGGGACTGGTTTGGACAAAACTCAGCAGCACTTTTTCGTGCGGCTGCTGATAAAAACAGGATCGCCAACATCCGATAACGGATATGGCCCAAGAAGAAGAATTGGTCAAGTGTGATTGGACACACGAGGAATTTGTCTCTGGCACATAAGCTCTCAGTATACATACAAACAACAAAGTGACAGGTCTGACAGATCATAGATTATAGTTACAATCATTAATCGTAAGATACAACAACAGTTCTGAATAATTGTCTGAAGCTGACTTCTGGCCCTCTGAAACTGAAACACAGGCAGCCCAGTAAGTCGCAGCCCCGACTTACGACCACAATTGAGCCCAAAATTTCCATTATTCAGCGAAACAGTTGTTAAGTGAGTTTTGCCCCATTTTACGACCTCTCTTGCCACAGTTGTTAAGTGACTCACTGCAGTGGTTAAGTTAGTAACCGGGTTGTTAAGTGAATTTGGCTTACCCTTTGACTTTGTTTTGTCAGAAGGTTGCAAAAGGGGATTGCGTGACCCCTGGGATGCTGCAACGGTCATAAGTATGAACCAGTTGCCCAGCGTCTGAATTTTTTTTTTATTTAAAGGTTTTATTGATTTTCTAATTTTACATTTAAGTATTTGAAAAGCAACATGGTGGCTGGGTTAACCGATAATACAATGACATACAGATATCTTTAATACAAATCTCAAAATAACACATTAAATATTTCCCCTCTTTTCCCCTTAGCATTTACTGTCTCATTTTTAAAATAATACAAGTCTTATTATGTCAATTAAATAAAAATAACACTCTTACATTTATCAGTAATTTTTAGCTTATACATATCCTAGTTATTTAAACATTCAGTTTTTATAGACAATCGATGTCCTAATTAGTTTTCCCAGTTTTTAAGTCCCCGTTAATATTTGAATTTAACATTTGTTGTTTATAATTTCCAGTTTTTGAGTTACCAAAATTCCCTTTATCAAATTCATCACAAAGTCTAATATTCAGGATACACATCTTATCTATTCAAACGTATTCTATTTCTCACCTTTTTACATCATCTAATTAATAATACAATATAGCATTCTTATTTTCTATTAATTTCCAAATATCTTAACCTTAGTAATCAGAATTTATTTATCTTGTTTCAACATCAAATACCTCCTCTCTTTTTCTCTTAATGTCTACTATCTCTTATCTAAAAGTAATTAAGATATATATAAGCTAAAAATCTATGGATAAATGTAATAAACATGTCTTTACTTAGCTGATATAATAAGAATTGTACTAGCCTAAATATGAAATAGTAGACATTAACAGCATCTGAATTTTGATCACATGAGCATGGGGATGCTGCAAAGGCCGTTGCTGTGAAAAACGGTCATAAGTCGCTTTTTTCAGTGCCGTTGTAACTTTGAATGGTCACTAAATGAACTGTTGTAAGTTGAGGGCTCCCTTTAAAAACTTCCACTGGGCAGTGGCTCGGTTCTGAAGGCTGTCCTAGATCCATCACTCCAGAGATAACTCCAGAGTTTCCTAGCAAGCAAGGCCATCATTCCAGTGCACTAAAACATAATCCAACTGAAATGCAAAGCTGATGTCCTGACTGCAAATATGGAGAAATGTATTTAGTGTCTCATTTAGTGTCCCAGGACATCCAGGGAGAGAGAATCACCCTTTCTAGCAACGGCTTCTTCTTTCAGTTGAGACATCCATACTTCCTGTGGTGGTTAACACCACAGCTGGAGAGGTTACAAAATGCCTCAACAGAGTCACCTTCAACGTCTACCAACTCCGCTCTGAAAATCACGGCAACAAAATCTAGAGATGAGGAGGGTCTCAAGGTCATGGCTGATCACCAGCCAAATCCAAGGCTGGAGGGATTTTAAGTGGCATTAGGAAGAACGTAGCTTCAAGGACCAGAAATAATTTTTCTGCTTGGTTCTGCACTGAAATTTGATTTGGAGTATTTTAAGGGGAATACCAGTGGAAACAGTTCAACAGATGGCATGAAGATGGTCAGAAACAAAGTCAGTGAGAAAAGACTGGGAAGTCCTGGGATGGGCAGTCTTCTCCAGGCTCTTGATGGAAGGAAGACACACAGATGGCCCAAAAAGAGACAGGATTACAGGAGGGTAAATTTCAGTTGAATTAGGAGAAACATTTCAGTTTAGTGGGTCTGATCAACCATCTTATTGTCTCATTAAAACTCTTCAGGCAGAAACTTGACAAGCATTGTGGGAGGCAGCTTAGGTATGTACAAATCTTTGACTGGTTCTGTTCCTTTCTCTGATATAAACCGGTTCCAACTGAAGAAGCATCATATGGATTCAGAAACAGAAACAACAACCCTATCTCATTTTTTCCCCCAGTTTTGTATCAAACAGACAATGCAAATTGCATTTTAAAGATTCTTACCAGAGATTCACTTGCACATTGGAAGACGTAGCAAGCATACTGGCTTATTCCAGGTTCAGTGGATTCTCGACATATAAAACCAAAATGATCGATGTGCTTTATGCCCTAGAGAGGGAAGGAATGGAGAAATGAAACAGATCACCAACATTTATTTCAAGCAAATTAAAGAAGTAGTGATTAAAGCCATTCCCCTGTCCAGTCATGTCTGACTCTAGGGCACAGTGTTCAGCTCCACTTCCCAGCCGAGGGAGCCAGCATTATCCAAAGACTTTTCTGTGTTCATGTGGCCAGCATAACTATACACCGAGGTGCACAGACTGCTGTTACCTTCCCACTGAAGCGGTACCTATTTATCTACTTGCATTTGTATGCTTTCAAACTGCTAGGCTGGCAGGAGCTGGGACAGGAATGGGAGCTCACCCAATCACACGGTACTTGGGTCTCGAACTGCCAACCTTTCAGTCAACAAGCACAGCACCTTAACTGCTAGGCCACCGTGCCCCCATTAAAGCCACTTAACCAGAATATCATCAGATCTTCTAATTTCATGAGTTCTTGTGTATTGTGGAGAGCATAGAACAGTGATGGCGAACCTTTTAGAGACCAAAACCCACTTATGCATCGCCGGGTGCCGGGTGGCGTGGCCCATTGGGTGGGCATGGCTGCGGTGGTAATGGCAGGCTGGGTGGGACTAAAAAGTTCAATCAATCAATTCCAACTTTGCAAGATTTTTTGTCCCGCGAGAAGTTGAAATTGACTGATTGATTGAACCTTTTTTTTTTGCACACAGCGGTGGAGGCCTAAAGCAAAAAGGTTTTATAAAACCCAGCTGAAGGCCTAGGCGCACGTACCCACAGAGAGGGCTCTGAGTACCACCTCTGGCACCCGTGCCATAGGTTCGCCACCACTGGTATAAAGAATGTTAGAGAAGAGGCAATGGCAGGGTAGCACAGGTGCGGCGCCTCCCTTACCACAACTACAAAAGACTTCCAGGAGAGATGTAAATTCCCAGCCCCACACATTCCTCTCCAGCAGTCTTTGTAAGTCAGAAAGTCCTTTGCTTCCTCCACATAACAGTCTTCCACCTGGTGTGGGATATTATTAAATACGTGTTTGGAGATGTCTGTGGAGATTCTTAGTCATTCTGGTCATGGTTGCCCCAAAGATGCTTTTCCACAAGGTAACTGGACTTTCTTGTTTTTCTTTGAAGATGTTTCGCTTCTCATCCAAGAAGCTTCTTCAGCTCTGACTGGATGGTAGGGAATCCTTGCAGACAGCTAGTCATTTGCATTCTTTTAGAGAGTCGTTACTGCTACCTGGAGGCTTGTCTGTGTCACCTGAGCAGCCCAAATGAGTGTGGAGCCTTCTTGGGACTGCTGAAAGGACTGTGTTGTAGACTAGAGACAGATGATATCGTATTCCTCTCCCTATGTTGAGAGAGGGCTGTTCAGTTTTGACATAGATGGCCTCTTTGATCCCTTTTTCAAACCGTGGACTTTGCTGTCTTCGAAAGAGTAGCTTTTGTCTTTTAAATGCAGATGGACTGCTGAATCTTATCCTGATGGGTTTGCTCTCCTATGTTGTGCCATGTGCTTATGAAGAGGTTGTTTTGTTTCCCCAATGTACAGATCTGCACGTGGCTCACTGCATTATACTGCATATACCACATTGCTCAGTTTGTGTCTGGGTGTTTTATCCTTTGGTTGGACAGAAAGTCTAGTTGCCTTGTGAAAAAGTATCTTTGGGACACATGACTGGAGAGTAACCCAATTTAAGAAATTAATTCCATTCATGAAAGGAGAGCTACCTCTTCGCCTTAGCTCCACACGTTTTGAGGGTGCCCCCACCCTCCCACCACTCAAAAGGCTTCAGCTTGGGGGAAAAATGTGCCTCTTTTCCCGGGAGTCAATAAATTCTGAGTAGACCTGTCCGGTGTTTCCTTCAACAGCTTGTTCTACAGGCTCTGTGGCCCAGCATAAGTGCTCAGTCGGTCCTCTGCTCGGAAGGCGCTCTGAGATGCCAGAACAACACATATCCCTTGTTTATTGTTCTCCAGAGAACAAGAAAGCATAAAGGGGGCCTTTCACGAGCCATGAGCGCTGCTTTCAGTGTTTACACTGCCTGTCAACTTGCACAGATTTTACAAATGAAGCTTCCTGTTCAAAATCAAACCAGGGCAGTGCACTTCCCCCACCTGAAACCCATTTGAAGTTGTGCTGCTATTTCAGTCTCCAAAAAAAACAGAAGAGACCCTCAAGACTTGGATGTTTCAGCAGGCAGGACTGGCCTAGGGGGTATTTTAATTGGTTTTAACAAAATTTTAATAGAGCGGCCAATTCAAATATTTATTTTTAATTATTTTAGATTTGTATTTGGTATTTATGTGGGATTGTTTTAAACTGGCTGTAAGCCGCCCTGAGTCCTCCGGGAGAAGGGCGGGGTATAAATGAAATAAATAAATAAA